GGTTCATTTGGATTCAGTTTCAAACTACGAACTACAAAGTGTAAACTATAAACTACATCAGAGTGCGAGTGCAAACTACACATTGTGGTGTTTAGTTTGTGGTGTGATTTTTGCAGATACAAGCAGGATATAAGTGAAGATAGAGTGCTGCAATTCGCGGAAGAAATATTGGAGCATAAAGCAGCGATATCGCAGTTGGAACTGGATGACCGGTGGGAGAGGTCCTATGGCGATTTTGAGGTGAGTGGGAGAATAATATGACGCTGCTATAGATAATAAAAAGTATTTTTTATTATTTTGAGTTTGATTCGACGAGATTTCCGAATGTGGAGAGGATGTGCAATGTGCTGAGGTCAAAGGGCATACGACTGTCATTGTGGATTCATCCATTTATCAATTTGGATAGTAATAATGCGAAGAATCGTGAGATTTGGGGATATATGGTGCAGACGGGATATAATAAGGAACCAGCTCGGGTGGATTGGTGGAATGGAGATGGATATGTGGTGGATTTGACGAATCCTGCAGCGGTATATTGGTTTAGAGAGCGATTGGATGCTTTGAAAAAGGTATTGTTTGGTGTGCGTATTTGGGTTTGGGATTGGTATTATTTATTATTGTGATTTATTATTATTNAGACCGGATATAATAATGATAAGGAACCAGCTCGGGTGGATTGGTGGAATAAGGCTGCATATGTGGTGGATTTCACGAATCCTGCAGCGGTATATTGGTTTAGAGAGCGATTGGATGCGTTGAAAAAGGTATTGTTTGGTGTGTGTATTTGGGTTTGGGATTGATATTATTTATTATTGTGATTTATTATTATTGTTATTGTTATACATATATAATAATAAATAATATACATATATAATAATAAATAATATATATTTATAATTAGTGAAAATAATTTGAAGTTGGGTGTGTATTCGTTTAAATTCGATGCCGGAGAGGTGACGTATTTACCGAAGCGATTCCGATTGTGGCGGAATGGTGCAAATATTAACGATTATCAGCGATGTTATGCGGAAATGGCTGCGGAATATGGGAATGCCGTAGAGGTGAGTGGTGTGGTGGAAATATTTTAGTTGGCGGCTTGCCAAAAGGTTGACCTGAAATGATTTTTTTTTGAATTTCAGGTTAGGGTGTGTTCGCGGACGCAGCATCTGCCGATATTAGTGAGGACATTGGATCGTCTTTCGACGTGGTTGGTGAGATTAAAATATTTTTTAGAATAGTAAAAAATATTTTATAAATAATAATAAATATTTTTGTATAATAATAAATATTATATATAATTATTATTGTTGTTATTAAATATAATAAATAATAATAATAAATATAATTAAGGGATAACGCAGGATTGAGGAGTGTTTTGCCGATAGCGTTGAATTATTCACTGCACGGATATTATTTTAATCTGCCGGATATCGTTGGTGGAAACTTTTATGGAGGGATTAAGNCGTTGAATTATTCACTGCACGGATATTATTTTAATCTGCCGGATATCGTTGGTGGAAACTTTTATGGAGGGATTAAGGCGGATAAAGAGCTGTTTATAAGGTGGATGCAGGTGGGGTGATTATTTATTATTATTATTTATTGTTATGTTATTATTTATTATTGTTTATTTATTATTATGTTATTATTTATTATTGTTTATTTGGGGTGGTGAGTTCGATTCCGGGCTGGGTCTTAATTTTTGCGGAATTTTGGAGGATTGAGGGTATAGATTGTTGTTGTTTTTATTGTTGGTTTATTATTATTTATTGTTGTTATTTATTATTGTTTATTAATATTTATTATTATTTGTTTAATTAATTTGTATTTTTCAGTTGAATCAGTTAATGGTGTGTATGCAAATGTCGAAAGCGCCGTGGGAGTATGATTTGGAAACTTGGCAAGTGTCCAAGAAAATAATGAGAGATAGAGAGATCATGATGGATGACGTCATTTTGGAGGGGTGTAGGAGGAGTTGTGAGAGGGGGGAACCGGTGATATGGTTAGGGTTATTTATTGTTATTGTTTTTATTGTTTATTATTATTTATTGTTATTGTTATTTATTATTTTATTATTTATTGTTATTATTATTATTTATTATTATTTCAGTCCAATGTGGTGGCTCTCGGATAGTGACGAGGCGTTGCAAGTGAGTGATCAGTTTGTGATAAACGATCGCGTAATAGTGGCTCCAGCTCTGGAGAAGGGGATGACATCGAGGAATGTTTACTTACCCGCTGGGAAATGGAGACACGTGGGCAAATGTGAGGGAAGTGCCGGAAAATGCTCGGGAAGTTTGGGAGGTTCATCTGGAGTTTATGTGGGACCGATACAGATTAGGATTGAAGTGAGTTGATGGTTATTTTTATTATTATTATTGTTATTTTTTTATTGTTTTTTTATTATTGTGTATTATTGTTATTGTTTTTATTATTATTATTATGATTGCAGGTACCGTTGTTATCTTCAGTGCAGTATTTTGTGAAGGTGGATGCAGACTGAGGTCAGAGTAGTGGCCAGTGTTTT